GGGGCTCTGCCAGCCGCCGCTGCCCGAGCCGGGTGCGCCTACGCCGCATTTAACGTGGCCTGGGGGGGGGGGGCGTGTGGCGGGAGCACCGCACAGCACCGTCATCCCACAGACCGGAGGGGCCGGGCCCGGCCGGGGAGGTGGCAGAACTGACCCGATCATATTGTGTTGTTATTTTCCCCTCACTCCGGGGGTTGTCCTGAGAATGCCCAGCTGTGCGGCCCAGGGGAGAATTCCCCCCCCCCCCTGGCACGCCTCGCGCATCCCCGCCCCCTCGGCTTCGTCCGGGCCATCACGAGGGGCGGGGCGAGAGTTCACCGGCGTCCACTCCGCCCTCTGCCTCTCTCTCTCTCTCTCTCTCTCGCTCTTCTCTCTCTCTCGCTGCCCCTCTCTGCGTCTCTGCCAAGGGCGCAGCGGGGCATTCCAGGTGGCGGTGAACGGCCAGCCCGCGGCGCACATTCCACAGACGCGCCGGTCCCTGGGGCGGCCGGGCCGACCCCTCGCCCATTGGGGGCGCGAGGAGGCGGGGGGGGGGGGGCGCGCCCCTCGCTGCCCCGCGCGCCGGTGGAATGGCCTCGGCGGACGCGAGGGGCAGGGCACCACCACCGCACGACGCGGCCGGGGTTCGGGGCGAGAGTGCGGCACCAGGCCCGGGGCCACGCCCGTAGGCCAGCCCCAGGCCGGAGTCGGCCCGGCGGCATGTTTGTCCAAAGGCGGGTCGGCCGTGTGGGGATGGACGAGCGGCTGCCTGTTGGGAAGTCCTCTGCTCCCTCCCCCCCCCCCCCGGTGCACGTCGTGGCCCGGCCCAATCGGTCCGCGCAGCCGCACGGCGCCCTGCAACCGCGCATGAGGGCGCCAGCGGGGGGAGGGAGGGGCCGGCCAGCAACAGGGCCCCTTGCGCCGGCATCCCCCCTCCGGCGGCCGGCGGCCGGCGCCTTTGCTCGCCCGTCGCGCCACACGCCCCAGGGGTTGAGACTTCCGGGAAAGGGCGCAAGTCGGTGCGCGCATGCACACGCGCTCCCAGAAGCGTGCGCCCTGCGCCCTCGCCCCCCCCCCCCCCTTGGAAGTGGGATGTGCAGGCGTGAGGGCGGACGCGCGCGCGCACGCGTGTGTGTGTGTGTGTGTGTTGGGGGCGGAGGGGGGGGGCAAAGGGGCTGGCTCAGACGCCGCCGGCGAACGGGGCCGACCCAGCGTGCCGGGCCGGCCGCGAGACGCTGCCGCCAGGGAGGGCCCGGGGGCGGGGGACACGAAGGGGCGCGACGCGCGCACCAGGCCACGCCTTTATTAGGGGGCACGAAAGTATGGCACCTCATCAGTCGCCGCCGCCCCCCCCCCCCCTCCCCGCCC